ACTGCGCAGTGATGTGTTTGGAGGCGGGAGCACTGCAGTGGAGGTGCCCATTGGCCCATTCCAGTGTGGGCAGGGCCTGGAAGATGGCAGCAGGAGTTTTGATTGGTTGCTTATGGTGTGGGCAGGGCCTGGGGCCCTGCAGTGGGGGTTCTGATTGGTTGGTTGTTGTGTAGGCAAGTCCTGGAAGATGGCAGTGGTGGCTCCGATTGGTCGGTTGCTATGTGGGCAGAGCCTGGATGATGGCAGTGGGGGTTTTGATTGGTCCGTTACAGAGTGGGTGGGGCCTGGGACACTGCAGTGGGTGGGGCCTATAGGTCATTGCTTCCACTGCAGCTCCAGTGTTCCCAATGTTGCCCCCAGCCCGTCCCTGTGGGGCCTTGCAGCAGCCCCAGAGCAGCACTGTCCTGGCTGGGGGAGCGGCACTGCACTGTGGGGGAGGAGGGGTCCTACACTGCGCACACTGCGCAGGGTGGCACTACGGGTCATGACCTTGTGGGCCAGCAGGGGGGCCTGGCACTGCACCAGCGGGTGGGGGTGTGCATGTATTGCACAGCTCTGGAGCAACAAGCCCCTGGGCAGTGGAGCCACCTCCACTGCACTGTGATGGGCTGGGGGGCCCTGCACAGTGAGGGCGGGCGAGTGGGGCAGTGCAGTGGAGGTGGCTCTGCACTGCACTGTGGGGAGAGGGAAGGGCACAATGCCCCGCAGGGCCCAGGCTGAGCTGTCTGCTTGGGGCACCAGGCCCGACCCAAGTCCAGCTGCAGCCCCCCCGGGAGCTGGGGCTGACGGCACTGTCCCATTGCCACCCTGCGGCACCTGAGCTGGGAACAGGTCTGCCAGAGGAGCCACTTCAGTGCCCGGTGCCATCAGGAGCTGCGTCGGGTCCCGGCCCCAGACCCATGCGCCCCACTGCCAAAGGGCCCTGCCTCCTTCCCCTACCCCCCAGCCCAGCTTTGCCTCCCTTCTCTCTGCCCTGTGCCAGATCTGTGGCTTGATGTCTTCATACATGCATGGGTTCGTGGGTAGATACACACAAGTATGCATGCATACATGTGCACAGACATGACTACGAGCCTGGGGATGCACATGTGCCCTTGTGTGCATGCATGTAGGTTGGTGTGCATCTGTAAGTGCACATGTGTGCGTGGGCATATGTGTGAATGCATGTGCACATGTGAGCAGGCTGGTGCAAGCATGGGCTCTCTCCCGTCTCCCAAGGGGCTCAAGCCCAGAGCTTGCCCTCAGGCCCCGGGGCCCGCCACCAGCCACATCTGCTCCCCTTGCACCCGCAGCCCCATGAGCCTTCTCGGGGTGGCTCCAGCTTGCCCACGCCCACCCAGAGGGGCGCAGCCGGTCGGCAGCTGCCCGCAGCAGGCAGAGGTGCCAGGCTCGGGTGGCTGCAGGCGGGGGCCAGCATCCATGAGGTGTCGCAGGAAGCTTGGGGCCGGGGGCTGCCAAGGCTCAGCCTCGCGTCCCCTCCCAGTGCTGGCTGTTGGGCCTCCTTGCACTGAGCAAGCCAGGCTTGCCGGATGCTGCCCTTGGGCAGGGAACTGCCTGATTTGGGGGGAGGGCAAAACCATGGAGTACTCCCCCCTGGCCCTGCTGTCTCTTCCCCCCTGTATTGGGAGAGCTGAGCCTGCACCTGGGCAGCCTGGTGCTTGCCCCCCACAGTGGCTGCGACCCCCCGCCCATGCCTCTCCCTGGCCCGGTGGATCACACCAGCTGCCATTACCCCCCGCCCCCCGAGCCGCCCGGGCGCATGGCGCAGCCTGGCTGCTGCTGGCAGCCCCGGCCCCAGCCCCGTGCTCAGTGCAGCTGTCCAGTCCATCACCCCTGCCCGCGGCCGGGGTATTTTTGCTGAGGAATGTGCAGCCCCTTGGATTCTCCCAGCCGGCCAGGGTTGTGTTACACATCACGCAGTAAATAGTCCCCCCCCACCCCCCCGGCCTTTGGTGGGGCCGCTGTGCCTCTTGCAACCCCCCTCCCAGCATTTTGGTGTCCCCCACACAGCATGCATGTACTCTGCAGTGCCAGTGGCATGTGTACCTGGTGCACGGCTGCAGCGGACCCAGCCTGGGCATGCACATATCTCTGCTACTGGGCTCCACGTGTGGCCCTGGGAGTCGGAGGTCAAGGGCCGCTTTGCAGGAGCTGGGCCAGGACAGGATTGCAAGGGTGACTCAACAGCCATGCGCTGCCCCCCCAGCTCCGCTGGCACGAAAAAGCTCCAGCACCAACTCCCGCCCCACTCGGCTCCCTGCCCACCGGATCCAGCCATGGTTGTGGCAGGACATGCGCCCCATGCATGAGCCAGAACTGGGCTCGCCCCCCACACCCCTGGGAGCTGCCTCTGTCCCAGCTGGTGCCGCGTTCCAGGCTCCAGGCACGGGGCTGGGGACAGCGTGCCTGGCTCAGGTCCCTGTGGTGGGTCGCAGGCACATGCCCGCTCTGCTGCTGCTGCAGGACGAGCCCGGGGGGCAGCCCTGAGCCCTGGAGCATGTCAAATTGGTCATGTGGGTGGCGTGAGTGGCTGGATGCCCCCCCGCCCCCCCTGCACTGGTGCCCAGTCGCCTGTCTGTGGGCCCTGCGGCCTGGCACCAGGAGAACCGTGGCAGGTTTCCCTGTGGATGGAGCGAAGTGCTGCGGCCCCTCCCCAGCCCCGGTGCTGCCGTGTGTCCGTGTCCCCACGGCCCGGCTCAGTGCTCGCACCTGCTGCACAGGCCCCGCAGGAAGCTGACCCGGGCAGACAGCAGCTCCCAGCGCGCCCGGGGCCTGGGCAGGCGCCCAGAGCCGGGGGCGTGCGGGGGGCCGCGGTGTGTTGTGTCTGGAGATACTTGAGCCCCCCAGGCTGGACCGGCTGGGCCCCAGGGCTCGTGATACCGGCTGCCGAGGGGCCCACGGGGCGCTGCCAGAGTCTGCCGAGAGCCTGAGCCGCTCGCCTCGCACGTGCTGCTCTGCCCCGGCCCGGGGGCCACGGGGCGCT